AAGGGCCAATGAGTGAAAAAATTCGTGGATCGATGTCCTTTCCATCCCGTCCGAATCTGCAGTATCCACCAGCAATGCCCAGAATGGGTTTGGTTCCCTGCTGGTCAGTGTATGCCGAAAAATCGTGGCTTTGGGTGAAACCTTTTGTTTGGCGTTCAGAACATCAACTATCAAGCAGCCAAATATAATATGTGAAAAAGTAAAGGGTTTTCATGTTTATTAGTTTGAATGCAAGACCGCGACCGGCACGTTAGCTCTGTTGTCTAGCTCTGCCGAACATGTTCTGCACATGCTTGTAACCTGCATGTTCAGCCGCTTACATGGGGTAACATAGACAATTATCCCATATTTAAACTGAATTTATCTTAACTACATGCTTCAAAATCTCAGAGATCGTCTATTCTGCAGAGGCAGTACAGACTGCCGATTGGGTGTAAGCATGTCATCAGGCAGATTCCTGTTGTTCACCACACAACAGTTTGACCACTATCGATGCAAGGAAGCCACTTGATGTGGCTATCACTTGAAGTAGCAATAAGATCAAATCGCACCGTTTTCTTTTAATCGTTGAAGAGAAGTGACAAATGATCTGCAATGAGCGTCCACAGAGTGCTTCCAATCGGCTCCCAGCGAATCTCTACGTCTTCCCACCTATTGAATTCAGATTTTCCATGGGATATACTTGAAGTAGTCTTGCCGGACAGTCCCTTTCACTCTGGCAGTAATCGTATGGATTTCTTGAGGGCCAATCACTCATAAGGCCGACGTATTCTGTCTCACTCGGTTTTTTCTGAACTGGCGAAACCGTTCAACCTGCTGTGGATAGCAGCACGCCATCCACCGTGGCGTTTTCCCGCGAGTACGCATGGTTGTTGTTCGACGTGGTCTAAATGGCCTAACGATCCCTCACAGAATTTGCAGGGGTCGAGCTTCACTGTTACATGGAATCTTCAACACTACCTTAATTAGCTGTCCAACTGCAAGTGGACAGCTGTGCACTGCAATCTTTTTCCAGCATACTACCAAGTCCGAGACTGCACAACTAACGTGCGAATGGAGAAGCAGGACAAGCGACCAAGATGGACGACAGTTGTGAGGCGCGGAAAAGTGGCACCGCAACGGGAGACCCCAGCCCCCCGGAAACGACCTCTTCCTGATTCTGAAGCTCTTCAAAGACCTCCGCCGACTGTCCTCGCGAATGCTTCTTCGAGTGAGCAGTGGGCTGCTCACTGGCCTTTGCTGCCGAATTCTCCAAATGTTGCACGAAGGGCGGGAATCGAGACAGTCACCCAAAACGACTGTGTCGAGCCCCCGCAGCGACTGGAAGAGGCTCGCCAGCAGTCTGCCATGTCGGCTTCCACAGATGCTGAAGACAGTCCTGAAGGCCTTGTAAAGTCTTTGGAGGACACTGCAAGTCATGGGAAAGGCGAGCCACAAGCTGCTGCCTGCGAGTTGGAAAACGCGGAGCGGCAACAGGAGCAACGCAGAGAACTGGCCGCACTTGCTAGTCTATCAAACAAGATCCAACAGCCACAGCTTCTTCAAAATGCCAACTTGAAGTTTTCGACTGTGAACATTGTCTGCTCCAACCCACGGTTCTCCACAGCAGAACGGGGAGCGGCGGCTTCAGTGTTCAACTATAGTGGAGAACGAGCAGCCCCGGGCGAACTAATTCATGCAGCGCAATTCGTGCTGAAAATGTTGGAGGCCAAAACGCGCAGAGATGAGTTCATGAAAAGAGCGGACGAAGTTCTTCTTACAACCCCTCACCGAACCTTGAGCAATGAGAAAGAAGGCACTGATCAAGCAGCAACAGTGCAATCGGGCGATCCTGATTCCACCTCATATCCTGCGGGACAGCAGCATGCTTCTACTAAGGGAGAGCTGGCAAGTTCTACGCTAAAGCAAGAACTGCAAGAATGCCAAATTGAGGAAACTGCATTCATTGACTTCATTCCTCATGTTCTCCATGCGTTTCGCGCCGTCATAAGACGGTCAGCGGCCCCTGCTGACGCCCTGATATATCAGCAGGTCATGAATTTAGAAGGCTTTCTCGTGAACGCTGCTGCCAACAGCGTAAGCTCTGGCGGCTCTGAATCAACTGAGCACCTGAAGGCCCACTTCCCTTTGGGTAATCGAAGCGCTCAGCAGCTAAGCGTCCAGCACCTCAACGAGGCGACAACACATGAACACTCGACGCTGGAACGCTTGGATCGAAAGCATCAAGAATTTATTGCGCAGCAAAAAGAACTTTCTGCTCAACGAAGAGTCGGCGCGTTGGCCTGTTCTTCCATTCATGCACCATTTCTGGTTATACCTTCTCAGCATCCTTCCCATTCTACTCGCTTGCAAGAAATCCTACTTCACCCTACATTTCCACTGCTCTTCAATGGTCAGAAGGCGTTGAAGCAAGTGAAAACGGATGGTGGCTCTACAACCGAAGAGCAATGGATGGAGGCACAGCAGGAAGGCCAGAAGGATATCGTACTGGAAAATCACGTACTGCACCGAACTCATAAGAAGGAGCTTTCCATCAACCCTATTCAGCGGCCGCAATCAGTGAGAAGTGAAGCAGCTAAGAATGCCCATTCTGGGGAGGTGATGCCAGCGGATAGAAACTCAGGCCATCCGTACCCTAGGTTGGGTTTCTCATCATCGGTGGACATTTTCCTAGGCCCTCAATTGGACAGGTCTTTTCCCGGAGCGCTGGACAAAAATAATAATCAGGGGCTTTCTGCTTTCCGTCAACACTACTCACAGACTGTAAACACATGCGATGTTGCCCAAGCACACTACTACTGCCGAAGATTTGCACCGAGCAGCGAACAGCCAGATTGCCTTCAGGACGGAGCCCCGCCAACAACGTTGAACGCTTCGGAGCCATCAGCATTGCACAGAATCGCAGGCTTCCCCGAATTAACTGCAAGCGCTTCGGTGGCCAAAGACCCATTCGGGCACGTTTGGCAGCCCAGCTTGCATGAGTTTCAGACGCAATTATGTGGGCAGCTCCAAAACAGATGTGTACGTCAGCCCATGTCAGCTGTACTACTACGCCATGACGAATCTAGTGAAGAGTGGTCAAGAGTTAACGCAAAACTCGGGGAAGGGATGCCTCACCAAAGATCGTTACAGCACTTGCACTCACTTCTGACGATTCCATCGCCGGCTCCTGTGCTTGCTGCTGGTAAACTTCAGGCTTGCTACAGCAGCTGGTTTTGGCCGCATTCACTGGCCAACTTATTCGAACAGAATCATATTTCAGAAAGAATAGAAGCCGGTGACCCTATTGTGGCGAATCAGCAACATGGGAAGCCCATCTGGGATGTTCACAACCAAGATGCAGCAGATTGGGCCAACTGCAAAAGACTCTTTTCGGGTGCCGTGTCCCCTTCTCACTTACATGACGACGAATTTCACGAACAAGATTGCAGCATGAGCACACAGCACAGCCGGGATAAAGAGCTAGCACACCTCACACAGAGCACGGGCGATGTGCAACTTAGTGATGATAGGTGCAGCCGCAAGCTACCGCGTGCGCAGTGGGAGCGACTTAAGCAGCTGCGGCAGCTATCGATGCAGCAACGCGAGCAACGAACGTCGCAACACGAAAAACAACAACCAGGAATACAGCTTGAAGTAGCCCCTCGCCAGCAGCAACAGCAACGCTCACAAAAGAATCGGCAGCAACAGCACAAGCCACAGCAAGAACAAAAGCAGCCGCAGAACACACAGGTAGCTGAGCCACTCAGAGTATGACTATCCCACAGATCTAATTCTAAGCTTCAGGGTAGATCCACACAAATGAAGAAAAATCGAAGAAGAGGAAGGAACAAGAGGGGGAGAGCGGAAGCTTCCAATAAGAGTGCACCCACTCAATGAGGTATCCAAATATTTCCTAGGCAGCGCTTTGAGATGTGATGCAGATGTCAACGAACTAATTACATAGGACAGCAGATGAGACGGCATGGCTTGTTCCTGCCGCCCTAAACGGAGTAAGTATGCAATGGAGGCAACGCAAATTAATCATGAGCTGGTATGTTACTTGCCATAGGCACTGCTTTGTTAGCTGGGAGATACGCCCGAGTTGAACAATCGGAAGGCCCGGAATTCACGGCAGGATTGAAACTCATTGGTGGAAAGTCCAGTGTGCCGAAATCTACCGGAAAGCAACAACTTGCACAGCGATAGAGTGCGCGATGCTGCCACCAACAGAGGGAATATGTAGCGCCCTTCGGCTGAAAACGCGGCGAGCACATTGACAGGAAACTGATGTAGAATGATAAGACCGCTAAACACAAGGACGAATCCGGGAAGAAACGTTAAAACGGAAGCCAGCGGGCCTCCCGCTGTTCCTCTCCCTGGTGCTCTGGTACAAAAAAAGGCGGGCTTCAAAAAGCTATCCGCACAAGAAAGAGCGCATTCCCAAATTATACAAGGCTTTCGTACAGAAGAGCTGTGTTTGTGCATGCAGCATTAAATTTTTAATAGAATTTCAGCGCATGATGCATTGGTGCTTGCCGAGAGACCTTCGGCATTCGGGCAAAATGCGACGACAGCCCTACGGTGGCCGCCTTCTTACTAACATGCTTGCAACTTTCACAAAGCTTTATCTGTACTTATTTAATTTTACACTTTGCTGCGAGCTAACTGGGGTGTGCGCTTGACCACACTACCAACGTGTGCTGAAGCCTTGCAGTGATTGCAGACGAGCGAAGCGAAGACTACGGCCTATACATCCCTTAAGCTTAATGACTATAATAAAATTATGTGAATGTTCATGTACTTAATAAGTTGGCTCTATGGCAGGGCTTTTCTGAGGAAGGAGCATTGCCTGGTCAGTCTCAGTGTTCTGGAGCATGCAGTGCGTGATGACGCGGCTTGGGCTCCCTCCTGTCTTGTGTCGGCTAGGCTGAAACACGGATCCCTTGAGCATCATTTTCCTCATTTAAGCTGCTCAGAAAATGAGATACGCGCTATCGGGAATAAATTAACGTGCCAGAATGATGCCAGAAGGGGATAACCCAACGCCCCAGGTGCAGCGCCCGCAGGACACTTTCCCGCGGTGTCGATTCACTTCGGATTTTTACTCTATTCTGCGGCCACATCGGTTCTGCGGGAAAACCGCGGGCGGGCTGTTTCATCAGCGAAGGGAGACCGGGAGGCCCCCCCCACCGCAGTTGCCCCGCATTTGTCCTCTGCTTAGCAACAGAGACCTTCGATGGCAACAACAGCAAGTCAAGGAGCTTCTTCTAGAAGAACGCGTGCTTTTGCTTGCAGACAGCCAAATTATGACTTCAGACGCCCCCCTCGCTGCCTACAGCTATGAACACGAATCACAGTGTCAACGATCCGCAGCCCCCTCCTGCGCAGTGGACGCAGAAGCAGCTGCACCAACTGCCACGCAGCAGAAAACAACAAAATCAGAATTGCCACATGCAGAATTAGAAGTAACATCAGCTGCCGGTGCTAATCCGAAGTTGCCGTCGAGGACTTCTGGGTCGCCGGCTGACCTCGTTCAAGCATCCACTAGCTCCTGTGCAGGCACGAGCAAGGAGAGGCTTAAGCCCGAGTGCAGGAGCTCAAGTAGCAGTTGCATTAACAGAAAGGACAGCAAGAGCAGCAGCTGCAGCAAGAACAACATGGTCCAACGGATTGATCGACGTCGCGCGGCCATGTTTTCTCGTAATGAGATGCTGACTGCTCAGGTGGTTCACCTGCTCGCCTTTTGAGAAGTAGCACGAAAGCAGCAGAAGCTGTAGCTGCCTATAGATCAAAGTGAGATTAAAACTGTTATTACATCGGTCCTTCGCTATCCCCTGCAGGACGTATACTCAGCAGTGAGGTGCATAACTGATCCTGAACATCCATACACACTGGAGGAATTGATGGTGGTGACCCCTGAGTACGTTAAAGTACACTGCTGCAATAATTATAGCACAAGCTCTACAGGAGAACGGGGCAGCAGTATATACAGCGGCATGCTACCGCAGCAGCAGCACCTCCATCACTGGGTTCAAACCCGAGGACTCCATCTGGAGATAAATTTCCGCCCGACAATTCCTCACTGTTCACAGGCAAGGCATAAATGCCTGGCCCAGAGCTCGTCTGTGCACTGCATACCACATAATGCAGCACATATGGCTGCCACTGCTGCTATCCGTGCCACTACTTCTAATGTTGCGGCAGCTCCTCCTGGAGCTGTGACAACCGCTAAAACTTGTGCCAAACGTGTGGTCTGCTGCTGCTGCTTTTCGTTGCAAACGTTCGTGTTGAAGTGCTGCTGTCGATGTGCCTGCTGCCCTGCGGATACGGCAGCTGTGCTGCTGATGCTGCTGTGAGTGCTAGTGCTGCTGCCCCTGCTTTTGCGTTCCTAGGCAACATTGATAGGTTTACTGTTGCTAGTGAAGGCACAGCGAGCTGCAGCAGCAGCAGCCAAAGCAGAAACGGCTGCAGTGGAGGTTTCAATAATAGCTGGCTCTCATTCGTCTTTTGCTTCAATTAACAAGCAGCTCAAGGACAAGGAAAGGGTGCGAGCGGCAGCAGCTAACCCGTCTCTTAAGCAAATGGTCGACACGGGTAAGCTCAAGAAGTTAGCCTTTGGATTCAATTCATTAACTGTACACAGAATGCTCCTGAATGTATGCTCTTCTGCTGCTTTCAGGACTGAAAGGTACAGACGTTTGGGAAGACGTGACGTACCTCTTATGGTGCTGATATGCGAAACCTGGGCTTGTTGATAGGCAGACCTTGTGGATCCCCTTTTTCTTGATGGGTTTGCTAGTTCTCACGAGTAATCAGCAACTGCAAAGTCTAATGGTGTGAGTTCTACGTCAAGTCAACCCACAGATTTTTGTAGTCTGCGTCCACCCACACGCCTTGAGGACAAGCGAGCATGCATAACAAGCTTTTGGCTGTTGCAGATAGGCGTCCTAATTACGTCAAGCCAAACCGAACATACGGCTATATACTGGATTTGCTGTGTAGCTGCTCCCGAGAAAAGGTCTCATGGCTCTCCAGACGCGCCTCGTAGCTTTTTCGCTAGCTATGTGACGTTACAAATATGATAATTTTCGGCATCTTTGGGCTGCGCTAACCGAGGCACCGGGCTTTTCGTCCCAACGCACACGTAGATAACGGAACGAAGTTGGTTGTGACCCATAGGAAGTAAACTGGAGATCCGGATCATCGCCGAATACAGTCAGCAGCACATGCCGGTGGGAGCTGCGACAACACCAAGCCAGCATCGGCAGCGCCTTCGAACGCTGGCATTCTAGGCTAGCCAACTTTTTGCCTGTAAAAGCATGGAAAAATTATGTGTATATGTATGCACAGCAATCGATGCATATGGTCTGGCATCGTTTTGGCTGCGGGTCATAAACCGCCACTTTTATATGGCGGTTTCTGTCGACACATGCCTGCTGCGTAGAATCAATCACCGTGACAACTCCGCATAGCTCGCGTATCAAGCTTTACTGCATTCACACATTGGAAGGATAGTTAGGGCTGTCTGCATACACGCACAATTAGCAGTTGTGCTTCTGAACTACGCTATCTAGTATTTCCTGCGCAGATTCACTAATGTCTGCGCTCTCCGCCTTAGTATGTTCCTTATGCTTTGGGTAGCAATCATCTGCTTATTCATGTGCGTTCACTTTGTGGCATTTGTTGGTCGTTGAGCTTTAGTGCAGTCAGCCTCTCTCGGGCCTCTTCTCATTATGTGCCATCGCACCATTCCCTTGACTTCAACTGGCAATTTTAGGAATTTAACCTTCCCAACCATTACTTATCGCACCCTTACCTCTTTGTGCTCAGATTCTCCAGGTAAACTGTACAGACAGACGATGAGATGCTTGCACTGTTTGCGCTATTCCTCTCACGCAATTCCAGTATAGACTCGCTAAATCCTCGTGTGATACGGAACAACATACCTCAATTGGTCCCCTACGCACTGCTGACGGGCAGCTACTATGCTGCGCCGGCGCGCTACGGCCTAGTGCATATAATGCAGTGCAACTCGTTGTGCCACGTTGTTCACGACGGCTCCTTACTTGTGCACACACACGAAGATAAGTGCGCGCTATACATGCTGAATGCATCACATGTAGGAAACGGCGGGTTCACCCAAATACATTTTCAAGCACTAGTTTATTTTCAAAGCAGGAGTTCGAACGGCAAAGAGAACGATGGCACCCCTGCCGAAGTCCCCACTTCGGGGGCTTTATTATTCAGGAACATACAATAGCAAACCCACGCTTGCATTTAAAATACATGTGGATACGTGGGCGGTTGCTAGTGGCTTGTGCAGCTTTTACATCTGAGTGTAAGCGTACTGCATTGCACTGCAGGAGACAAAGCTGTCGCCGCCACAAAATATACAAACAATACTAGATAAGGTAGTTGCTACCACTACCACGAACAACAAGCAGCAGGGCCCCAAACCTCGAATGGTAAGGATATGCGGGTTGGTATCCCCCCTGATTTTAATGATGGATGCACTTATTTCTAATCAAACACTAATAACGATATACTTCATGAGCTGGCGCAACCATAAATTCACTTACAAACAATCGGTGCGTCACCACACAAGCACGCAGCATACGCCAGGAACCGGACGGTCCCACAGAGGGAGAGCAGCATCCATCCCTGTGCAGCCGAAACATATTCTTGGCTACTTAAATATATAATACACAAATACATAATAAATACATAATTGCAAATGTATGTGAGCATACTGATGCAAATAATGTATTATAAATATATGCTCGCGGTGAACGGTTCATGTTCACCTGAAAGTGCAAATAATATTAGCAAAACAAACATCTACAAATCTAATCGAAATAAATGTAGACATATGAAAATATAATTTCAAATATGCATTTAGATATACATGTGCAGATATATACAAAAATATCCAGGCAAATCTAAGTACGTGAATGTGTAATTGGAAATAAATATACACCATTCTAAGCATTAGACAAATTTGTGTAAATACATGCTCAAGGCTGAAGCCTGATGTGCGGGAATATAAACACCGGCTTACAGTCACTACGGATCGCACAGTATGTGAAAATGCAACATCACCAGTAAAGTCACAAAGAATTAGATCAAATACGGAAGCCGTGTGCACCCTCTGAATGCTTGTTCGTAACCACTCCCCTAGCGTTAACATAGCACGGCGGCTACATTAGACAAACAAGCGAAAGGAACCACAGCAAAAAATATTTTGGAGCAGCCTGTGCAAACAGGTACCAGAAGAGCTAGTGTTCTCTCTTCGCTCCCTCTCAAACCGCCGCCAGCCGCTACGCAGCCTCTTTGGGGTGAGTAGTGGATCCTACAGCGCCATTCGAGGGTTCCCTGTCGCCCAATCTCACATCAAATCTTTGAAACTATCATCTTCACGACGGGCAAAGCAAGGTAAAGAGCTGAGGCGTCCTCCTTCACGATCAAAAGCTGCTGCTGAGCCGCTCCTCAGCTGCTTTAGCTCCTTCACATTTGTTAATATATCAGCGTAGTCGAACGGAGACAACATGCCCGAGCAACTGCGGTGCTGCAGTTGCTGCAGCTGTGGCTGCGACGGGTTGAGATCGCTCCAATCTTCCCGGCTATCTGCTACAAGCTGTTCTTTACTGCTAACTCTGCTAGTCTCTCCCGGCGTGTGTGTCGTGCTGCTGACAGTCTCCGTGCTGTCAGTGCTTTCTAGGTCCCAGTATCTGCCTTCCCCCACAGGGCACACCATAGCCTTAGGTGAGCCCTTGGCAGGCTCGTTGAAGGCATACTCAGGGAGCACCTGCGAAGGTACCTTGTGGGGCTCTTTCCCTGCTTTGAAGCCGCATCTCGGTTCTCCGTGAAGCGACATTTGGGAGAGCAGGTCCTCGTTTATCTTATGTTGCTGTGCTAAGAGCAGCAGCTGCTGCTGCTGCTGCTGCTTGGTGGCAGCCATTATCGCTTCGCCATCACTGGGGCCAACTAGTGTCTCATCTGCGGCCCGCAACATCCGCATCAGAGCAGCAGCTACTGGATTAGTTTGCTCGCCCCCTTGCTGTCCCTGTTGCTCAAGCTGTTCTTGCCTTTGCTGTGTCTTCGGATGCCTGTCACGCTGCATAGACACTGGGGAAAGTGGCAGCCTTGGAACCCCCTGCTGTTCCTTTCGTTGCCTGAGTGTTCCCTTCTTTGTCTTTCCTCGACCTCGCTTGAGGCGTTTCGTCTCCATGCCTTTACAAGCGGGCGTTGTTGCAGTAGCACGTGAAGCTACAGCAGCAGCTGCTGTTGCTGGCACAGCTGCGGCATGCCACTGACTCGGCTCAGATGAAACCAACTGCACAAATGATTTGGTGAGGGGATCTGCTGGCAGCTGGTGCTGCTGCAGGCTCTGCTGTAAGGCTTCTAGTAGCTTTTTTGGTAAATTCTCTAACGTATGGTAGGGCTGCAGCTGCTGCGACTGCGGCTGCTTCTGTTGCGGCTGCTGTTGCTGCTTTTGGTGCTGCATAAGCACTTTGCCGTTCTTTTGCATGTAGCCAGTTTCTTCCTGCAGCAATGCCGTTGCTCCGCTAACTTCATTGCCATTACTCCAGTCCGCTTCTGCCCCTTGTACTAGCAGTTCCTGCTGCTCTTGCTGCAGTTGTTGCTGCTGTTGGTGTTTCTGGTGGTGTTGGTGTTTGTCGGCCCCTCTTTGCGCAGCCGCCGCTGCTGCTGTAGCACTATCTGCGGCAGCCGCAGCATCCGCTTCGTTCCTTCCTTTCTCTTTGACAAAGTCTCTGGCTCCCGTCTGCACCGCCAGGGTCCTGAAAAATAGCAGCTCCTGAATCCCATGTGCATGATTGCACGTATCCGAGTGGAGGCAGCGGCCGGACATCCAGCTACGACAAATGTTCGTCTTAAAGAATGCAGCAGTGAAGCGCAACTCGTCGCGGCTGTGCGCAAACGAGCAGGCAGGGCCTGCAACGTGAAACACAAAAAGTCGGACAGCCAGTAAAGGCGTGGAAGTGCAACTACACCATCGGTGCTAGCACAAAGCAGCACAGCACGTAATGTGTAACTGCAGTCCAGTTCTGGTGCTAATCGCCATTCCCTGAGCCTTACCAGCAGTGCACAAGGTCGAACAGGCGTCAAGCCTGTCTACTGCTTGGAGCTACCTGCTTAGGTAAGGATTGCTGTGCTTTGTAGCGGCTATATTGTACACAGCAAGTAAGTGTGATGCATAGTGCCCGATAGTTGGTTGGGTAGTTGGAGCGCTGACGACTAACTTGCGAGCTCGTTACCTCACTGACTACAAATCTTCCTTGTTTAGCTACCTACTACCCAGCTAGCTGGACTCCTTGTAACCTCACCTCTTGCGCACCGCAGACCTGCCTTGATAAAGGCGCAAATCCTTGTCTTATCAAGTCTAGGAGGGGGCCTGAGCTCTTCCCTCTTATGTGCGAAGCGGCAGCTGCTACCCAGCTTGCACTGACCCCGAGCCGCGTGAGGACACATCTGTGTGCGGTAAAATATGATCCGCCGATCTGCTAGGATGGTCCCTGTTAGGGGAACAGGTGGCAAAGAGGGCAGACCTGAAACCAGCAGCTGACTGTCTTGCTTCTGCTGCTTGAGCTCACGGTCTTCCTCAGCCGGCTGCTGCTGCTGGAGCTGTAGCTGCAGCTGCAGCTGCAGCTGGGCACGGGTATGCGCATCTAAAATCTGCTGCTGCTGCATTGGCAAGGGTGCGGCCGGCTGCTGCTGCTCACTCTGCTGTTCTTTCTGGTGCTGCTTTTGCTGGCCGGACAAGCCTACATGAGATGTCAAGTCGAGTTCAGGGGGCCTCTGCTGCAACTGCAGTGGGGGCTGTTGCTTTTGCTGCACTTGTTCTTGGTGAGGGAGGCACTGCGGAAACGGGCGCTGCAATAACTGCTGCTGCTCGATTTTTTTGCTTTTGTTGCAGCTGCTGA